TTCTTTCTCTGTCTCCCCTCTCTCTCTCTCTTTCTCTACCTCTCTTTTTTTGTTTCTCTGTCACTCTGCCTCTAATCAGCCGCCCCCCTCTTCGCTCCTTCTCTCCTGGCGTTTTCCCTCTTCCTTCGTCCCTCTCTTCCTCGCACTCTCCCTCGTTCTCCCCTTCCTCTTTTTGCAGTGCCCACACCAATTCCAATGGCGGGCAGATGTACGCCCACGAAGGATTGTCCGCCCGTTCAGGTTTGCCCGCCTGTCTAAGCCCGCCGCCCCCCGCAAAGAGAAATAATCCCCCCGAAGCGGGTGTGATCGCAGACAAAAAAGGCGGGTATCGAGGGTGTGGGGAACTCGTTTTGAATGACGCGCGGGCAAGTAAGAGCGAACAGTATTACGATGATTGTTGTTGTTGTGGTTGAATTTTCATGTCTGAAGAATAATTATCGCTGGTCTCCTCTCACCGGTGCATCTTGTTTTTCAATCAAAGTGTGGCCCTCGACGCTCGCACCCTGTAATTGGACAGGGAAAGTCTTGGTACTCAATTTGTGCCTCTGACCTTTCGGATGGCAACAACAACAACGGCTCCCGCCTGAGACTTCTTCTAAATTTACTCATGACCCCCGCTCCCGCCGGAGATTTCCTCACAATTTACTCAGGATCGGTGCTCCCGCTTATGACTTCCTCGCTTAGTCAGGACCCCCGCTCCCATCTGAGACTTCCTCACGCTTTATTCAGGAACGGCGCTCCCGCTGGAGACTTCCTTGCAATTGTATCAAGACTTCTTCGCAATTTAGTCAAGACCACCGCTCCCGCCAGAGAACCTTGTAATTTTATGCAAGAATTGCGCTCTTTCCTGTGATATCCATGCAATTTATTCAAACATCGCGTTTTCGACGCGAAGGAAACACGCTGCGCCAAGGACGCCGTCACAATTTACTTAGGAATCGCGTTCTCGCCATACACAGGCATCCGCCCGACCCGCCCGTCAGGGGATCGCCCGCCCGTCATGGGCTCCCGCCCGAGACTTCCTGAAGCGGCGCTTTCGCCTAGGACTTCCTCGAACGTTCACGCTCTTACCTTCCTGCTCCTCCTCCCTCTCCCTCCTCCCTCCTCCCTCCTCTCCTCTCTTCTCTCTCCTTCCTTTCTCCCCTCAGCCTTATGCCTCTCTGCCCTATCCCCTCTCCCTCCTCTCCCTTCTCCCTTCTCCCTCCCCTCTCCTGCCTCCTCCCTCCCTCTTTCTTTCTCTGTCTCCCCTCTCTCTCTCTCTCTTTCTCTACCTCTCTTTTTTTGTTTCTCTGTCTCTCTGCCTCTAATCAGCCGCCCCCCTCTTCGCTCCTTCTCTCCTGGCGTTTTCCCTTTTCCTTCGTCCTTCTCTTCCTCGCACTCTCCGTCGTTCTCCCCTTCCTCTTTTTGCAGTGCCCACACCAATTCCAATGGCGGGCAGATGTACGCCCACGAAGGATTGTCCGCCCGTTCAGGTTTGCCCGCCTGTCTAAGCCCGCCGCCCCCCGCAAAGAGAACGAATCCCTCAAAGCGGGTGTGATCGCAGACAAAAAGGGTGGGTATCGACGGTGTGGGGAACTCGTTTTGAATGACACGCGGGCAAGTAAGAGCGAACAGTCTTATGATGATGATTGTTGTTGTTGTTGGTGTTGGTGTTGGTGTTGTTGTTGTTGAACATTATTTATTCTAAAGAATAATTATTGTTGGGCCCCCTGGTGCGCGCCCCCCCTGCGCCGCCTAGGCCGCAGCTACATTTTCATCATTTTCGTGAGGAAGCCTCAGGTAAAACGATGTGATCCAGATCCGGTTGTTTTGTTGTAATCCGCTTTCCCTTGCAAAAAACACTATAAAATGACATTTCTTGTTCTAATATAATCAAATTTCAAGAATCCCTTGCAAAAAATAAGGTAAAGTGGACATTCGCGCGCGCAAGACGAAATCCTTCCAAAAGCTTAGTGTTCGGAGCGATTTTAACATAAAAACATCAAAAAACCAATGGTTTTTCAACAAAAAAATGTCAAAATCTCATCCCGCGCGCTCTTGCGGATTCGTAGGAAACCCAACACTTTTTAAACATTTCTGTCAAACGGGCTTTTGCGAGCAACTTTTTCGAACTTCTGCGACAACGGTTGCGCACCTGCCAGGGCCATCATCCCTGTCAAATAATACCATGCGGGACACATTCGTTTTTTCTTCGCGCGCGCACGCCGTCGTCGTCGGCCGCGGGGCCCTGAATAGTAGCCACGGTCGTCCGCATGCCACGAAGTGAAGTGTCCGAACGTCATAGGGCGGGAAGCTGGGTGTGGGTGGTGGCGAAGAGTCGTTTGGAAATTTGGTAGAGCTTGAACCGGCCCCCCCACAAAGTGGGGGTATTGCCCGCCTCCTATGAAAACCCTGGCACTGGTGAGAACGGAGTGTCCCCAGTCTTAAATGATTGTTGTTGTTGTTGTTGTTGTTGTTGTTGTTAATCTTGTTGTTGTTGTTGTTGTTGTTGTTGTTGTTGGTGTTGTTGTTGTTGTTGTTGTTGTTGTTGTTGTTGTTGTTGTTGGTGGTGGTGGTGGTGGTGGTGGTGTTGTTGTTGTTGAGTGTTCATTTTTCAAGAATTATTATTGTTGATATCCGGAAACATTTCCGCGCGCTCTCGCCTCGACGCCGGCAGCATTTCGCTGAAAACGAGGCTCCCGTTCGAGCGTTGGTTTTAGCCTAAATGTGGGCCCTTGGAGGCCCAGCTACGACAACAACGGCTCCCGCTTGATATTTCCTCACAATCTACCCTGAAACACCCTGGCCAGAGAGGCCCCCGAACTCAGGAACGGCGCTCTCGCTCGAGACTTCCTCGCAATTCAATTAGGTAGGCGGAGGCCCAGCCACACCAAGGGCTCCTGCTCGCTGCTTCCTCACGATTTACTTCGGGAGCCCCTGGCCAAGAAGGCCCCCGAACTCAGGAACGGCGCTCTCGTTCGAGACTTTCCCGTAATTCAGGCAAGTTGGTGGAGGCCCGGACACGGCGACAAAGGCTCTCGTTCGATCTTTCTCCAATGGTATTTCGAGAACCCAGCCCCTGGCCACAGAGATCCCCGAAGTCAGGAACCGGCGCTCTCGCTCGAGAGTTCCTCGCACTTCAGCTGGTGGTCGACAAGGAAGAGATTCCCCCCCTAAAGGGGGTGCAATCGAAGACGAAGTGGGCGGGTATCGAGGGTTGGGGTATACGGAATGCAAACACGCGTGCCGGTAAGATCGAAACGTCTAAAAATGATTGTTGCTGTTGTTGTTGTTGTTGAACATTATTAATTCTAAAGAATAATTATTGTTGGGGCCCCTGGTGCACGGCCCCCCTGCGCCGCCTAGGCCGCAGCTACATTTTCATCATTTTCGTGAGGAAGCCTCAGGTAAAACGATGTGATCCAGATCCGGTTGTTTTGTTGTAATCCGTTTTCCCTTGCAAAAAACACTATAAAATGACATTTCTTGTTCTAATATAATCAAATTTCAAGAATCCCTTGCAAAAAATAAGGTAAAGTGGACATTCGCGCGCGCAAGACGAAATCCTTCCAAAAGCTTAGTGTTCGGAGCGATTTTAACATAAAAACATCAAAAAACCAATGGTTTTTCAACAAAAAAATGTCAAAATCTCATCCCGCGCGCTCTTGCGGATTCGTAGGAAACCCAACACTTTTTAAACATTTCTGTCAAACGGGCTTTTGCGAGCAACTTTTTCGAACTTCTGCGACAACGGTTGCGCACCTGCCAGGGCCATCATCCCTGTCAAATAATACCATGCGGGACACATTCGTTTTTTGCGCGCGCACGCCGAAATCTCCAAAAACCATCGCCGTATTCCCACTTCGGCACAGGAATTTGATTAAAAAATGTGACGAATTCCTCTCTCTCTGTCTCTCTCTCTTTGTCTCTCTCTCTCTCCCGCTCTCTTCCTCTGTCTCGCCTTCTCTCTCTCAGTGTCTGTACCATGTCTAGCACTGGTAACAAAGGTATTTGTGTATCCCCACATCCGCCCAGGAATTCCACAAATGTGACCAACTATCTTGCGAGTACGTATCATCTCATGTGTGTCGTGCGCACTATCAAATGTAACAGAGTTGTGTATTCCCATCATCCCAGGAACTTGACCCAAAAATGTGACCAACTCCGCTCTCTCTGTCTCTCTCTCTGTCTGCTCTCTGTCTCTCTCTCTGTCTCTCTGTATTATGTATTGTATGGCACAATTGCACCATGCTGGGCACATGCGCGCCCCGAATAAGTGACCAAGTTCTGTGGGTGTGTACCCCACGCCAGTGTAGTAGCCACGGTCGTCCGCACGCCACGAAGTGAAGTGTCCCAACGTCATAGGGCGGGAAGCTGGGTTTGGGTGGTCGCGAAGAGTCGTTTGGATATTTGGTAGAGCTTGTAATGCCCCCCCACGAAGTGGGGGTATTGCCTGGTGTCGTATGAAAACCCTGGCACTGGGGAGAACACCACGCGTTCGGGTAAAATGATTGTTGTTGTTGTTGTTGTTGTTGTTGTTGTTGTTGTGGTTTTTGTTGCCGTCGTCGTCCCACACGCGACCCAGCCCACGACCCACCCGTGACTCGCTGCGACCCACCCGCGACCCACCCGCGACCCACCCGCGACTCACCGTGACCCGTCCGCGACCCACCCGCGACCCGCCCGCGACCCACCCGCGACCCATCCCGCGCCCGCCCCCTGCGGGGTGCTACATATTACATCACCTGGGGGCTAAATGTTTTCGGACTGACACCGTCGTCTTGGGGGCATCTCGGGAGCGGGGGCCTCGTCGGGACCTCATTGGGGCAGTCGGTCTGTCCTGGGGGGTATCTTGGTACCGACTAGGTGGGTCGCGAGTTTGTGCTGAAGCGTCTTATGGCCCTGACACGTCCCCCGAGAGGCTGCAAACGGCGAAAAGCCAACGTCTTTTGGGGGGATCGAGGCGCTGGAGGTCTTGGTTTCTCCTGCCGCGGGGGCGTTCGGAGGGCTCTGCGGGCGAGGTGCTTCGAGTTCGTGGTTGGCTGGCGGCGCTGCTTCCTGGAGAGCGTCCAGCCGCGCCACCTCCCGAAGGCGTGGGACCTACACCGGAGCCTCCGGAAGCACGACGACCTCTTCGGGCCCGGCGTGGTCGCCGGGGGCACTGGCGCGTTGCCCGTGCCTCCAGACGCGGTGCACCAGAAAAGAGGGCGAGAATAGCGCTCCCATTTCTGAGTTCTCGTTTGTGATGCTGGAGGGCTTCTTCCTATCCTCCCCCCCTTCTCCTCCTCCTCCTCCTCCTCCTCCTCCTCCTCCACCTCCACCTCCTCCTCCCCTCATATTTCCGCCGATCGCCAGGCAGGCTAAGGCGAGGAGAGCAGCTGCCAAGGCTCGCTCTGTTTCGCTCCGCCTCTGGATGCTCTCCAGTGGCTGCGCCTCGCCGAATCGTTCCCGCTCTGGCGGTGCCTGGATCGTCGCGGACGGCCGCCAGAGAGCCGAGCTGTGACCCGAAAGCCAAGGGGCAACGTTAGGGGGGGGACAAGGGGCAACGTTAGGGCTGGGGGTGGGATAGACTCAGGGGGGGGTGCCCCACCCCAGTTGCCCATTGATCGCCGATGGGGGCTCAGTAGCCCACCCCGCCCAGACTCGTGCAGATCCGCTATCAGGGGGCATGCAGCCAGCCCTGATGGTGAGGACGCTCGACTTTCCGAGGGCACCCTGGCATCCTTGCCGCCTCGGTCCTCTTCGGTGCGTCCTCGACCTCTTTCGATGGCCAGCCCCGCCCGAAGAGCGATGCGACCTGATGCTTGCGTGGTGCCGTTGTGCATCCTGGCGCCGCCGAGCGGCGTCGATGCCGAGTCCGTGCCCCCGCAGCCCGATCCGGTGCGCACCCTGATTCGAACCGATCTTCTGGAATCGATGCATCGATACTACCATCGGCGGTGGACAGACCTCCTATCCTGACACGTCGATTAAGGAATTCGCCGTTTTCGGTTCGCGAGAGGGCGTCGCGGCCCTCGGCGTGGGCGCCCCAGGCCCTTGCATCCTCACCGCGCACCTTTCCTGCACGGCCGGACCGCATCGCCGATCCGTCGGCGATGCATCGCCGATCCCAGGTCGACGTTTCTGCGGGACGGGAAAATGACCGCAGCCACTGCTTCTTGTTTGCGCCGCCTTCCAGCCGGCCGAAAAAGAAGCAGTGGTTGTGGTCATTTCCCTGGTGCCAAGCTCAACGAAAATGACCACAACCACTGCTTTGTTGCTGCGGGCTGGAAGGCGGCATCAAAAGAAAAGCAGTGGCTGTGGTCGGTTTCACGCCCCGTAGTTTCGCCCCCCGAGCTGGTTCCCCACGGACCCCTATCGGACGTGCGAGGGCAGCTCCTCGGGCGCGCGTCGCAACCACATCAGTCGGGAAAGAAAAAAACACACAGACACAATTAATTGTCGACCCCAAGGAAAATATAGGAAAATATGGGAGGTGGGGGGAAGACGAAAAGAAAATATGGAAAATATGGGGAATCCTTTTATTTGTGTGTGTATTTGTTTGTGTGTCCCAGGGCCCTTCAACATCAGGCGCTCCGCGTGCGTTGCTTCAGATCTGGCGAGGCACGAGCGTCCACCCTCCGAGCGGCAGCCCTCGTCGTAGTCGGCGGCCCTCCTCGCAGTTGCAGAGATCTGCCAGCGACCAGCGGCCCCTTCGCGGTCCATGCCAAGATCTGTCTGCGTATCCTGGGACATCGCGGAAGGCCGATGCGGAAACAGGTTGTTTTGGCAATGGGAGGTCTGGGGATTTTACGAGGTGTAGGCATGCTCCCATGGGGGTGTTCATTTCAAAGCAGTGCGGCGTTTGGTTTGTAAGTCCCTCTCGCGACTGTGATTCGCCACCACCTCCCTTCGCGATCACTGGCGGGGGAGGGGGCCGGCAGCACCTGAACGGATTTTTCGCACTGCTTCCTCCTGCTCTCCTCTCCTCTCTCCCGCGCTCCCTCTCACTGTCTCTCTCTCGCCCTCTCCCTCTCATTCTCTTTCTCTCTCTGTCCCTCTCTCTCTCTCTCTTTCTCTCTTCACACACACACTCTCTTCCTCTTCCCTCACACTCTCTCGCTCTCTCTTCTCTCGGTCTCTCTCTCTCTCTCTCTTCTCTCTCTCTCCCTCTCGTCCCTGCACTGGCAGTGCGCGCGCGTGCGTGCTGCGTCCGTCCTCCCCTCCTCCTCCGGGCGCGGCCCCTCCGAGGGACTGCCGGGAGGGGGGGGGGGACCCCGCCCTCCAGGGGGCGCCGAGCCTGTGTGCACACGGGCGCCGCGCCTGTCCGGGCCCATGCCGCCCAGGGACGGCGCACCACGCCTGGCCAGGTCTCGAGCCAAACGGTGTTTTTTGGCAATGTCGTGGGCCGTTTCCGTTTTGGCTTCGCTTTTGCAGCAAGTGTGGCACGAAGACAGGACTGGGGGTGACGAAGACAAAACGAGAACGGAAAGCACCGTTTAACTCGAGCCCTGACGCCTGGCCAGGCCAGGCTTCGAGAAAGGAAGCGCACGCCACATAAACAGAAACTTGTGGCGCTCCGCGCGGACTTTTCGGATCCGCACCACGGCTCCCCCTGGCGGCGCCTCCGGCGCCGCCTCTGGCGCGCTCCGCGCGCCAGGGAGGGGGGTCCAGCGCAGATCCCAGAAATCCGCGCGGAGCGCCCAAGGTTTATGCTTATACCTGGGCCTACGGTGGGCCCGGCCAGGCCCAGTGCAGGTATAGTTGGATCGATTCGACGTAAGAGTGACCTTTCGCCGGAGTGACCAGTGGTGCGGGCCAGTGAGGTCCCCTCATCGCTCAGCGCGAGGCGGTAGCAGCGGCTTGCGCGCCCGGGTTTGGCCACCCCGCGCCCCCACTGAAGGCGCGTACCAAAGGTCACTCTTGCCTAGGGTCACTATTGCATGTAGCCGAATATAGCTGGCGCCGACGGTCGGCGCTCCCACCCACTTCCGCGATAAGACGAGGGCCGCTGCCACCGCATCCGCAGGGCCTGCGATGCGTCGACGATCGAGCCCCGGTTCTCCCGGGGCCCCCTGGCGCGGTGAAGACGTCACGACGGACAGCTTTTGAGCATGTCGGCCTCTGGCGGCCCTTGCCTGGCCCCTGGGAGCGTCAAACGACGTGCCGAGGTGAAAAACCTGCCCCCAAGCTCCACGTTCTGCGCCTCGCTGATCTTATGAGGTAGGCGTGTGCAGCGAGTGATGGGCGTGTCGCGAGGGGCGTGCGCAGAGAGCTGCTCACACGCGCAGAACCAGACGCGGATTATACGGCAGCAAATAGGAAAACATGACGAATCTGCTCCTAGGAACAGGCTCACGTCCTGACCAGGATCTCGAGGCAGACCTGGCCGCAGCGACGAGGAATCTGCAGCATGTCCCCGTGGTGGTGGTGGCGCTCGTCGTAGCTGAATTCTGAGTTCTCAAGGATCATGTCGCCGCGCCGTTTGTCTTGACGCGCGGCCTTGCGTCTTGGGGAGGGCGCCGCGGGCACCCGGGCAAACACCGCCTCGGGCGCGGTGGGCTTGCCGTGGGCTTTGCCGCGGTGCCGGCTCCGGCCGCCTGGGGCGCGGGGCGCAGGGCTCGCAGTGGGTCTGCCTCGCTGTCGGCGTCGTCCCCTTGGGCGCGTCGAGAGCCCGCGGCGTGGCGTATAAGCCACGTGGCGTCGCAGGAGGGCCGGCGCCGCTGCCGTCGGCGACCCGCGCTGGAAGTCTCCGCCTCCCCTCGCTCCAGACGGCGGTGGCGGCGGCGACATCGGCGCCGCCGCCGCCGCCGCCGCCGCCGTTGCCGTCGCCGCCGCCGCCGCCGTTGCCGCCGCCGCCGCCGCCGCCGCCGCCGCCGCCACCACCGCCGCCGTCGTCGTCGTCGTCGTCGTCGTCGTCGTCGTCGTCGTCGTCGTCGTCGTCGTCGTCGTCGTCCGACCAGTCCGTTCAAGAGCGTTCCCAGGACCCCCCCGCCCAAAAGATACATGAGTAGAGCCGTCCCGGGGCCCCTCCGACGGGCGGGGCCCGTCCTGGGAGGCCCTTCCGACCCGTGCCCGGGCGTGGACCCAGAGATCCAACGTAATGAAAAAATCAAGACGGAGGTTTTTCGCAAATTTTGGCCCCCAGGGACCCTCGCCGGGCCTCGGGACAGTCAAAAAACGACTCAGGATGAAAAACCGGTCCTGGGGAATGGGTCGAGACTTCCGGGGACCCCGTCTTGAAAAAATCACGACATCGGATCTCTGGGGAGGCGGGAGCCTCCGGAGACCCGCCGAAGCAAGACTCCGAAAAGCGAAGGCCCGGGCGCCCGGCGAGCTGTTGCTTCGGGGCTCAAGGGGCGAGGGTCCATGCAGACGGGGGTCCGTCAGAGCGCCAAGCCTTGCAGCATCCTGCAGTGCCCGGGGCGCACCGAGCCGGGTTTGGGCGCAGTGCTCCTGCAGGATCCTGCAGGGGCCTGCAAGGCTCGACTGATCCGGGTCTGGATGGACCCAGGCCAGAAGATCCCCGATTTGTCAGTCCGCGTTCGCAGAGGTCCCGACCGCTCCCCTGGGTACAGTCAAAGCGCACAGTAGCGTTGAGCGCCTTTCCAATGTTACCCTTGCATCCTTCCCCTTCGGCTCATCCTTGGCCACTTTCGCACGGCCTCCTAAGGCCCTGGCATGCATCTCCTGCATCCTTCTACTGCGCCTCGACTGCAGCTCCTCGTCCTGGACTCGTTTTTGATGGCCCCGGGGCCCGGAAACGGACCCAGAGGCCGAGGCCGAGGGAAGAAACGCTGGGACGGAGACGTCCTATCGACGGAGGTCTGGGCCCGAAGCGAAGGCGTCGTCGTCGCCGTCGTGGCCGTGCCAGGCGGGCTCTGCCTCCGCTCGCTGCAGGCGGAGCTGGAGCGCCTGGGGGCCCTGCTCGACAGGCACGCCGCGCGGGCCGCCGAGGAGTCCGTGGCCATGCTCGAGAGGCCTGCGGGAGGAGGAGGAGGAGGAGGAGGAGGAGGAGGAGGAGGAGGAGGAGCAGGTGGAGGAGGAGGAGGAGGAGGAGGAGGAGGAGGAGGAGGAGGAACGAGGCCGCTGGCAGGACCCTGATCTTGCTGAAAGGCGGCATCGGCTCTTCGACCAAGTCTGAATTTGGCCGATCGTATCCCCTGGTTCGGACGTTTGACTCCTCTTGAGTGCCCTGAGCATTATCACTTTTTTGTGACACGTTTTGCAGAGCAGGA